GTAGCGTGGTAAGTTTTCCGTCACTGATGACTGTTTTCGCAGTTAAGAATATGTGAATCGTGCCGTGTGATCTCATTACATTGGCTGTTTAGCGTAGCAATGTGGCCTTTTTGCCTCACCCGAGAAGACTTGCAACACCTCCTAATGCGAGAAAGCCAATCTGACGAGAAGTGTCATCCCCACAACGCCAGTAAACTGTTTTTGGTTTCAGTGTGCAGTTAGAGCACTTTCAAGGTTCTCAAACTTCTGCGTCGAACTATTGCACCGATTAGCTGCTTATGTCAAGTCAAATCAAGTTTATTAAAGGAAATAAAAGCAAACGCCCTTAACCTCCCTATTGGTACATAGCATTTGAAAAATGCATCGGCACAGCCGAACATTTCATAGAAGTCGTTGACACAATTGTAGGACACTACTCACTTGTTTCAAGTAATACATTCACATGTGGTGATCTCAGTTAACACCAGCCAGCAGTGTAACTGAGCAAGAAGAGCAGACAGGGAAAAAACTCCTAAGACATGGATCATAATTCAAAATGGAATGTCATTTGTGGTTTTTAGGATAAAAACTGTTGCCCGTGGGGAAAGTATGCGAATGATAGGACCAGGATGCTTCTGTGAATGTTCACGGCAGCCATGGGGTCCATGGCGAGTAATATCTACATCCGAAGGGCCATACAAGGAGGAGACCTCAGAGTCACGAAAGCGTCCCCAAGAACCGGAGATGCGACCATGATAGCCCTTGCTGTGACAAGAGCAGAGGAACCCGCCACGTCATCAGCAGCCGGTTTTTAGGTCGATACGAGAAAGAGCGTGACGAGGCTGCATAGCCTAGGACCAAAGGTGCGGTAGATGCGACTGCAGACGCGATCAGAGCAGTTCGTATAGTGAGAAGAGGAGGCGGACATGGCTAAGTGTACGAGCCTAGTGTATTTTTGATATTCAAGCTTCGAACACACTCCTCTGCTAATTATTTTATCGTCATCTTAGCAAACTTCAGCGTCCTCCGGCGGAGGTAGTGATATATTGAGAATAAGAAGATATTTGAGTTGACCCAAGTGTGAAAAACTCTAGGCGTTTGGCAGGATTTGAAACGGCGCATCAGAGAAAGCTTTTGCCGGAGGCTAATGCTCTACCACTAAGCTACAAATGCCCGCTTCACGCCATGAGTTTAATCACACTTGGATCGA